AAAGGATATATCTCTACCAACATGGCATAAGAGTGCCTTGCCAATACAGTGGACCCCCGGTTTGCGATGGCATCGGTATCCGATAAATCCGGTATACAATACATTTTAACGCAAAAATTTTGCCTCGGTTCCCGTTAGAAAACCCGCCATACGCGATTCGTCCGAGACGTGTCCACGTGTGGCCCAGTGTTTACAAGCCAGCCAGTGTGCTCGCATCTAAGGATACATTCGGTACATTCCATATTATCACAGTGTTTTTGGTGCTTGTTTCTGCAAAATAAGTCACCATGGGCTCCAAGAAAGCTTCTAGTGCCAACCCTGTGGTAAAAAGGGTGAGAATTAGTATGGAAATTAAGAAAGATTTTGAAGGGTTTGGGGCTAACCCTGAGAAGCCTATGCCAGTTGTGGAATCCATTGTGCCTACTTCAAAAATTAAGGAAATGTGTGCAAAGTGGGTTGAACTGCAAACCTTTATGGATGAAAATCACCCTAACACAGCTATTGCAAGCCGTGCTGGTGACTATTACAATGACAATGTTGTGGCCCTTTTAACAAATCGTAAAGGAACAGGAGGTACAGAGCTCTATGGACAGATTTGTTGTGCGACGAGGTCCAGTGACTCTCAAACTGGGCCTAGTGGCATTAACCCTTTGACTGTCGAAGGGCCAAATCCTGAAGTTGCTTCTGGTGTCGCAAAATTTTCGAAAAAAAAAAAAATTATTTTTTCTTTGAAATGATAGAGAATCTTTTCCCGATTGTAAAGACACCAAAAAAACGAAATTTGATGGAAAACTGACGGAATTACGCTTCGCGAAGTTAGCGACTTCGGCGATATTTAAAAATCGGCAATTTTGCCCACTTTTAGCCCTATTTTCGGCTAATTCCGTTATTCCAGTCAACAAAACTCATAACTTTCTTTCAGAACTCTATTTTTTTTTCTATCGATTGAGTACAAGAAACTGCCCATTTACCGATTTCAACTACCCAATAACATGGTCAAAATTTGCAATTTGGCCAATTTCACGAAAATTAAAAAATACGACAATTTCAAAATAAGGTCCAGAATGAACAATGCAGACATTCTGGGTCTAAAATAACATTTTCTTTGTTCATCAGTCATGTCTCCAGGTCCCTGTGATATTACTCTTGCTTTTTATTTTGAAATTTTATTCAAACAAAAAATAGAAGATTTACTGTTATGCAGACTACTGCAATACTGTAATAATTGTAAAAATTACATCAACCCATTCATGACTGCGTATAAGAATGGCTATTTGGACATTTATTGGACAATGACATCATTTGTATAACTTTTGAACATCGGCAAAAATCAAACATTTTCCTGTACTTTGTGCTCCATTTCCAGGTTCTTTTATAGTAAAATTAATAAAAATCACCTCCATTTCTATAATATAGTTTCCATTCTATCAAATGAGACCAAGAAAACGAGAATACAACCACAAATACTAAAACGAAAATAGACCACAAAGTCGGCATTTTAATTAAAAAAAACGGTCGGAGTTTTTTTTTTCTCATTATGCACTGCGTGCTCCAGGATTTTTTTTATGTGGTGCACACTGACCACACAGACCCATTCTCTCACATGTGGGCCTACTAGCTTTCTCTGCCTGATTTGAAGCCGCTAGAATTTATGAGTATATATACGTCAAACACGGTACCTCGCAAACGTATATATACGGCCGCGACAGTCAAAGGGTTAAAGGAAGAAGGGAAGTAACCCCAGAAAAGGACTTGCTACCTCAAGTTCTAATGGAAGGGGATTCCCCTTCTAAACATTAAGTTCGACACTCTCCCCTCCTCCCATCCCATCAATCATCACCAGATCTTCATTAAAGGTAAGTGTCATGTATTCTATTGTTAGTAGAGTACTACAAACTGCGCATGTTTTCTTCAGTTTGTGTGCATTAAACTTAATATTTCATGTGGTAAAAATTTTTTTTTCACATTTTTGGGTGTTTTGCACGGATTAATTTGATTTCCATTATTTCTTATGGGGAAAATTGATTCGCTTTTCGATAATTTTGGTTTACGATGAGCTCTCAGGAACGGATTAATATCGCAAACCGGGGGTCCACTGTACTATGGTCAGAAAGATAGGCAGTAGAGGAAGTCGGTCATAAAATAAAAAACTTAGTCCATTGTGTATTTTGAAACACAGCGTGTAAAGGGAGTGCATGACATGCCAGACATTTCTGAGAAGAATGAGAAGGAAGCAAAGAAGTATCATCAGGGAATGGTCTTGGGTGTTTAGATGTGGGACCAGAGTGGGTCTGACATGGTATGGGCAGGCAATCCAAAAACTGCCACACTGTAGAGGGAGAAGCCAGAAGCATGGCCTAAGAATAGTGGAGGTCAGATGTATTGAAGGAGTCAGTCGAAATGGCACCAGCAAGAGGTACAGGGGCATTAGGAATGTCTAAAAAGTGATCAAATAATGAGGCAGGGTTGGAACAGGGTGCAGTATCAGTAAGGGGCCCAGGGAGAGCAGGTTCATGGATTTGGGACTCCATGGTTATGTCACTTCTTTCTTGTTGTTTTGTAGAAAAAAAAGGAGGGGGGGGAATATGGAGGAATAGCTCCTAGGAGGCAAAAAAGGGCCGTAAATCCCCCTCCTTGCACCCAAGAGGACCCAAGCACCACAAGTAGTGCAGATGCTACATGGAACCCATGCCATACCCTACCCTTCATGCCAGTAAACCAGCAATCCACGATAGAAACCTCACATCTGCTGAGACACTTCAGTGGACAAAAGAAAGGTTGGCTGGACACCCGCCACAAAGCATAGCTCCTTCAGCCACCACCCCCCGGAATCTGACAGGCAGCCTCCAGAGATACACCCGTCACCCGAAAGACACCCAAAGCCACCCCCCAGGAGACTGGAGGGGGATCAGGACACCTCCTGGTGATCCAGATTCCATGGCAAACTACACCACTGCCAAGGACCTCAATGGAATGGGATGAACCCCGGTACCCTTCCCCCTACCTAGGAATTAGAGTGCCTGTGGGAAGAACCCCAAAGGCTGAAAATAGGGAAAGAATAGGGGAGGGATGGGGAGGAGGAGGAAAGGGAAAAAGGGGGGATGGGACAGGGAAGGGGGGATTAGGGGGTAATTAGGTTCAGTCTGAGGAAGGAGACCAAAAGGTCTAATTCCTCAGATCAAGAGCCTCTTCACTGCGCCAAGGAGCCCCTGTTGAAGAGGACCATTTGTTCCAAAGGTTAGCCATGTATTGCAGTGACTACCTTTTCTTTCAGTTCAGTTTCGATTGTCGAATTATAAAAATCCTCTTTTTTTCTCTTCAGTTTTTACTAAATGTATTGATACTGTGTGTATGCTCACTTTGTGCAAGGACTGAGAACTCACATTTGATAGAAATTGGTCAAGAACCATAGATTTTATATTTATACTTTTGTTATGGCTGAATTATTAATGTTGTGTGTTTTCTCTGTTAGTTTTTAACCAAATGCATTCATACTTTGTGCATAATCACTTTACATATGTATGTACAGAGCGCTCATATTTATTTGGAAGAGATTGGTTTAGAAACAAGAGTTAACCCTTTAACTGTCAGACCGTTGATCCATGCATTTCCGTCAGTGCTCCAAACGTTGATTAACACTATTTTTCCTGCAATCAAATTTAGCATCAGAAGCCTGATAGGCCTAAGCAGTATAAAATGCTGTCTGCATACTTGGTGTGCATCATATTAAAAAATCTGGGACCATGTAGTACCTCATGGGAGCACCAGTTCAACTGAGTGTCAGCTAGAGCAAACAGTATGGCAAACACCAGGGATTCACTAAAGCCATGTCATATTAACAAGGAAAGTGATGTTGACCCCAAGTCTAGTGTCTTTGTGATGAACATGGCCACAAGTGGTAGAGGAAATATCAAAAAGCTCAATAATAACCCATGTGCAAAAAGAACAATACCATGACTAGAACAATACACACACAACCTGCACATAGGAGAGAGGAGCTTGTGACTACTACATCAGAATCATTGACTCTATTTAAGGGACACCTGTTGTTCAAGCAATTCATACCAAGCAAATGTAATTGCTATGGTATAAAATTTTGTTGCCAAAATGTATCTATTCCTTGCCACAAGTCATGCTTATGTGTGTGGAACAGTGAGAACAAATAGAGAGCATATGCCAAGGTGTTCACTAGGGGTAGTACTGAAGGTGTATTGCACCATCAGCAATGTGGGATACCACTGTGATACCATGCTTCAAAGATTTTCATGCACTCCAGCACTTCTAATAACATTGCTGGGACCTATAAATAGTTTGTACAGGAGGGCCCTGCTTCTACACCAGATTAGGGTCTGGACTACTGCTGTAAAGTGAAAATCACTCTAAAGTGAAACATAGCCTTTTTTCACTTCCAGATGGTTATAAAAGCCTGATAACATGTTTACACTATCATATATTAAGTGAGCAATAGAGCTAGGCCTAAAAAATGCATATACAGTACACACATTACTTAGCTTATAGTAAGTGAAATTATTCATTACATGAAGTCTGAACAAATTAACAATGGGTATAACTGAAAATTGTGGCATTAGCAAAACACTGTAAATCATTATTATTATTATAATAAAAAATAAGCACTAAACCACAAGGGCTATACAGCGCTACAGGGCAGGAAGGAAGCGAGGGTATTAGGTGGCAAAAGGGAGATGGATGAGTAATAGGTTATGGAGAACAGCAAGGCAGTGGATGGTGAAAGGGTAGAGGGCAGCAAGAGATTGAGGTAGAAAGGGCTGAGGGGAGTTATCATCATCAGAGTTTGTGGAGTAAATTAGCCGTTGTCAAGAAGTCAGTGAGAGAGTCAGGATTAAAAAAGGGTCCATCAGCAAGAAGGGAAGGTAAAGAGAGAGTAGTAGAGTGGAGACGACGTTGGAGGTAAATTCTGCGTGCTCGTTGATAGAGAGGGCAGTTTAACAGAATGTGGCTAATCGATATTGGAACTTGACACTGTTCATAGAGAGGAACAGGGTACCTCTCCACGAGATACCCATGAGTAAGACGAGTGTGGCCAATGCGAAGGCAGGAGAGAGTAGTCTCCCAACCTCAGCACTGATGACAAGAAGACATCCAGTAACCTATGCTCAGTTTAATAGAATGAAGCTTGTTACCGAGTAGAGTTGACCAACATTGTTGCCAACGGGTGTGAAGGTGGGTAGCTATTACAGCAAAATAGTCCGGAAATGGAACACCTCTATATGAAATTGGTAGGTCATGTACTGCTGACCGCGCAGCAGTGTCTGCCTGTTCATTGCCCTGTACGTCAACATGACCAGGGACCCAACAAAAAACAATATCTTTATGCTCGGTAGAGATATGGCATAGCCAAAGTTGGATACGGAGAACTAGAGGGTGAGGTGTATCAAATTTCCATATAGCCTGTAGAGCACTAAGGGAGTCTGAGACAACCACAAATGATGACACAGGCATAGATGCAATATGAATAAGTGCTGAAAGGAATGGCATACAATTCAGCAGTAAAAATGCTAGCCGAAGATAGTAAATGCCCTCGCATGATGCTGTCCGGAAACACTGCTGCGAATCCGACGCCGTCAGAAGACTTAGAGCCATCTGTGTACACTGCGACGGCATGAGAATGAGAGTGGAAGTGGTCAAGAAAAAGAGAGCAGGAAGCCACCATAAGCAGTTGGGCTTTCGAGCAAGGGAGTGAGAAAGAACAGACTTGAACAGCTGGAACTTCCCAGGGGGTATAGGGAAAAGTGAGATGCTACATGAACATATAAAGGTGGCAACTGAAGGGAAGACAAGAGCGAATGTAGGCGAAGAGAGAAGGGACGGAGCAAACAGGAGTGGCAAACAAATAAAGAATGTCTACTAATATCGGTGACCATTCTATAAATGGAAGGATTGCGGAGATCGTGAGAGCATACATAGTAGTGAATGCAATGAGCATCACGGCGATCAGACAAGGATGGAACATTCACTTCTGCATAGAGGCTCTCAACAGGGAAAGAGCGAAAAGCACCAAGGCATAAACGTAATCCTTGGTGATGGATGGGGTTAAGGCTAGAGAGAGTAGCAGGAGAGGCCGCTGAATAGATCTGGTCACCATAATTGAGTTTTGATAAGATGAGGGCTGAATGTAGGCGAAAGATGAGCAAGGGTTTTAAGAAGGTTCAGCCGGCTGTGACAAGTTGCCTCCAGAGAGGTAATGAGAGGTTTCCAGGATAACCTACGGTCAAAGAGAAGGCCTAGAAACCTGACTGTAATTTGGTGAGTTTTGATACTGGAAAATTTAAACCCATGCGTGGTGGCCCAATTGGAAACACGGTCAACCGCATGCTGGAGAGAAACTGTAATGAGGTGACAGTCAGCGCCTGCACAAGCAATAGCGAAGTCATCAACATAGTGATGACCAAATATTGGATGGAAAAACAGAGGCCAAATCATTTATAGCAAGGAGAAAAAGTGTTGCACTCAGAACACATCCCTGAGGGACACCTTCAGCTTGGACAAAGTCAGGGGGGAGCACATTATTGACTCGAACACGGAAATGTCTCAGTTAAAAAGTTCTTAAGGAAGGATGGTAGATTGTCTTGGAGGCCTAAGGAGTGGGCTTGGGCCAAAATATTTTACCTCCAAGTTGTGTCATATGCCTTCTCAAGGTCAAAAAATATGGCAATAACTGAGTGGTTATTTGCAAAGGCATTACGAACATACGTATCCAAGCGTAGTAAGGGGTCTATGGTAGATGGGCCCTTACGAAAGCCATATTGACTAGTGGAGAGACTGTTGTGCGTCTCTAAATACCACATTAAACGTCGATTTACCAGACGTTCCATCACTTTGCAAACTGCAGTAATAAGAGCAATGGGACGATAGTGCGAGGCATCATGTCCCATAGTACCTGGCTTTCAGAAAGGGAGAACAATGGCAGATTTCCACAGCTGGGGAGGAACCCCTTGTGACCAAATAAGATTGAAGAGGTGTAAGAGGACTACAAGGGCTGACTGATGAAAATGTTGTAACATCCGAATATGAATGTCGTCAGGCCCAGCTGCCGATGATCGGCAAGCTGAGTGTGTTGCCTCCAGTTCCCTTAGTGTAAAAGGCACATTATACTGTTCTTCTCTGAGAGAAGAAAAGCCCAAGGGTACTAACTCTCTGGCAGACTTTGAGGAAAGAAACGAGGGGCATAGATGGAGCCCCCAGGAAATACGGACCAGATGAGTGCCAATTTCAATGGTAACGTCAAGAGGGTTTGCTATATCAACACCGGTGACCCGTAGAACAGGAGCCGGGTCAGGAGAGTATTTACCATCCAATTTCCTCACTTTTTTCCAGACTGCACTCATAGAGGAAGCAGAGGTGATGGTGGAAACAATCTCGTCAGCAAGTGCATTTAGCGTCACGGATGACACGGCGAGCGACGCACGCTTCTGCTTAAAATCAAGAAGTCTCTCATCAGTTCTATTGTACCGGTACCTGCCCCATGCAGCACGTTTCAAACATACTGCATGAGCACAAGCAGGAGACCACCAAGGCACCCACTTCTGAGAATGCCTGCCTGAGGTTTGGGGTATAGAATGAGAAGCTGTGGTTAAAACTGACATTGAGAAGAGGTGTAGGAGCTCATCAATGGAAGATGAAGAAGGAACCTCACTAAAAGCAGTGAGTTGCGAGTAAAGGTCCCAATGTGCCCGATCAAATTGCCAGCGAGAGCTACGGAAAGGTGGTGAATGTGAAGGAGAAATAAGAATGATTGGAAAATGATCGCTGTCATGTAAGTCCGGTAGAACAGACCAGGTGAAGTCTAGTGCAGTGGAGGAAGAGCAGACCGATAGATTGATGCAAGAGAGAGTATGAGTACGAGGATCAAAATGGGTGGGAGTACCTGTATTTAAAACATGGAGGGGGAGAGAGGCAAGAAAAGCCTCCAATTGGATGCCACGTGAGTCACAACGAGACCTCCCCCCAGAGGAAATGGTGAGCATTAAAATCACCAAGTAACAGAAGTGGTGGTGGTAAGAATGAAACAAAAAAGGCAAAATCTGGGATAGAAAATGCTCAAGAAGGAGAGAGACATAAAGAACATATTGTAAACCACTTATTCAAGTGGATACGGGCTGCAGTGTACTGCAGCGAGGTATGGACAAATAGTTGACAGTACGGAATATCATTGCGCAGAAGAAGGGCACTTTCATTAAAGGTCCCATCTGAGAAAGAATCCGAAGAATACAATAAATTATAGCCTGAGATAGGTTGGAAAACAGCTGAGTGTAATTTTGGTTCTTGTAAGCAAACACCAACAGGGAAAAACCTGGAAAGCAACATCTGAAGCTCACCCCGATTACCCCTAAGGCCGCGGATATTCCACTGCAAATAGGCCATGATTGGCAATGAGGAAAATACCAGGAATCTGTAGGGAAGGGCACCTACGGACTAGATGGGTTAGAAAAGTCAACGTGCGGTGGCAGAAGAGGGAGAAACTAGCAAGGGGACAGGGGTGGAAGGCATACTACGAGAAGGAGGGTGAACCTCCACACTTGTAATAGAGCCAGAGAGAGGGGAAGAACTAGGCAAAGAGACTGGAAAGGTAAAATGTGGAGGTGGAAGAAGGGAAGGAGGGGGCAAAGTAGATTTGAGCAATGGGGATTTTTTGGACTTCTGAGAAGTAGAGGGGCGATTGGTATAAGGTGTCATACGAGGTCTTTTCGATACCGGGGCTTGTGAGGAAGGACACGAAGATGTGAGAACAGACTGAGGGGTTGTAGTAGGGACGTCAGAGCCCAGGACAGCAAAAGGATTAGATACAGGAGTGACTATGGGAGAGGTAACCACAGAGGTGGGTGTAGAAGATGGGATACCAGAAGTGGGGGGACGTTTTGAAACACGGGAATAAGAAACACGTGGGAATCTCCCTTGGAGGCGGAGATGAGAAACTGCCATGGCATAAGGGAGACCTTCTGTCTCTTTGAGGTAACGGATTTCCCGCTCGTTTAGACTTGACAACGGCGAGAGTACGAAGGGTGAGCCTCATGACAGTTAAGGCAAGAGGGAGATCGATTGCAAGATGTATGAGAATGGTCATCGGCACCACAGACTGGGCATTTGGCGATAGATCTGCAATATTTCGCTGGATGGCCAAATCGCCAGCAATTTCTACACTGTTGCGGTGTAGGGATCACCTTTCGGACTTGTAACCGATGTCCTGCTATATAAACTGAGGATGGGAGTTCTCGGCTGTCAAAAGTTAAACGAGCCACATTGCTAGGGTATCGTCTCCGCCCGCGGGCAGGAAGAACATAAGTGTCTACCTTGAGGATTGGGAGATCTTGGAGTTCCAGCTGTTCAAGAATGTCAGTGCCACATGTCTGGAAATTTTGTTGAACTATGGTATGGGGGCAGAATGACAGTACCACTACAAGAATTGAGGGAATGACGTTTTTCAAGAGTGACAAGAACAGTATCGATATGGGAAAGACGAGAGAGAGCTCATGAGCCTGGGTAGCATTCTGTATGGTGATGATGCGCGTACCGCTCTTAAGAGCATGAAAAGAAATATCTTTACCAACATGGCATAGGAGTGCCTTGCCAATACTGTGGTCAGAAAGATAGGCAGTAGAGGAAGTCGGTCGTAAAGTGAAGAATTTAGTCCATTGTTCAGTCTGAAACTGAGCGTGGAAAGGTAGTGAAGGACGTGTCGATCGTTTCTGAGAAGAATGAGAAGGTGGAGAAGTATCATCAGCAGGTAATTGTCGTTGGCGTTTAGGCGTGGGACCAGAGTTGGTCCGACGTGGAACGGGTCGGCGATTTGAAAATTGCCGCACCGTAGAGGGAGAGGCCGGAAGCATAGTCAGAGGAGAGCGAAGGTCCGATAAATCGAAGGAGTCAGTCGAGGCCTCAGTACCTGAAGCGGGTGAGGAAACAGCACCGGCAAAAGGTACAGAGGCATGAGGAGTGTCTGAAGAGTGGTCCAAAGACGAGGTGTGGTCAGAA